GCCGAAGCACCCGCCGCACGAGCGCTAGTGCTCCTGACAGGAGGCGGTAACGCTCCGAGATCAGTTCTGCGTAAGGAACTTGGACTGTGCCACCGCTTAGCTGTGTGAGTAAGGGCCGGTCACTGTATCCAAAGGGGCGGAGGAGCGACCGTAGACGGGGCACTCCGATGGCCGAACCAGCGTGATGCCGCCCTGGCTGGGCTGCTCCCAGTGCTTTTTGAGGACTGGGGTCGGCCCCTGGGTCCAGGCCTCGGTCTTGGCCTGGGTCCCTTCCAGAGTGAGGCGCGGGGGCTCCCGGCGTGCCTACAGATCGAGGAAGATCCCCACCTTTGAGGGTGTTTGCCTGATGGCGGCATATGGTGGAAGAGCATACGAGGGATGTGTAAAGCCCACTGTGGGATCCTTTTTAGGGGACTGTGGGAATGTGTGAGATGTCTTATGGGCTGTTTAAGAGAAGCGCCAAAGGTGGGGAAGGAGTCAAAGTGGCCTAGGAGCAAAAACCGTGGAAACACGTAAGGAGAAGCAGGGTGAAGAAGGTGGTTGTGTGTGAACATGTTGCTGATTGGTAGCCTTTATCTCTCCAGTCTGTCCCGTCTCACTGAACTCCACTTGTAGTTTTTGGCTCTCTCTGTGTCTCTCTCTCTGTGTCTCTCTCTGTCTTTGTCGCTCCTTCTCTGTGAGAAGATTTGAGTAACAGCGAGTAGAGTAGTACTGCCGACCTCGGGCATTTGTGTGCCCCAGCGCTGGGAAAGCCAGCGGCTAGCTACCGGACAAACTTGTGTGTTTAAGGCCAGCCACTGAAGGGATTCATAATGTTTGCGTGTGCATACACGTCTATGTTTATATGAATATACTCTACCAGCACACTCCCAAAATGATCTGCCGGAGAAGAGGAAGAGGTTTCAGCCGCTTGTACCGTTCAGGCTGCGTACTGTGTGTTTTCTGTGTTGATTTGTGTTGCTGGACACGTGTGTGTTTTTGCCTACCGGGAATATGTTCCCAGTCTCGCTACTGGCTGGACTTGGGTGCCTGCCAGCGCAGCAGCCTTGCAACTATTATGGTACGGGACTCAGCGACTTGTACCGTCACCCATCTCGGCGTCCCCGTCTTTGCTCTGTCGCATTACTTTACTTTTCACTCCCGTTCATCTCGCGCAGACTCTTTAACCTGGTACTCTGACGGCTGGTATGTGTTTCTGTCGGGTAGTAGCTGTTCTGTGGTGGACTACGGTGCCAGACACTGCTATATAAAGAACGATTTGTATGTGAGGAAAACGTAATTGCAGCCTGCAGGGTCTTATTTCCATGTTAATCTCAGGCTGTTACTGACGTCCTCTGTTACGCAAGGACACAGCGATCCTTACTCTGCTAGCCTGTGCCAGGCGTGTCCTATTCCACGAAGGAAGGCAGGAAGGCGGGTGATAAAGATGTTCAGAAACAAACGCCCTTCGGCGCGAACGTTACCGGCAGCTGTGAAAGAGGAGAGGTATCACGCAAACTAGTTTCACTGCGTGTCGATATTCTCAAAGCAAAGCACTGAAGGGGAAAGGGTACCGTGAGTTATTTTATTTTCAGAGCGCTCTGACTTTTGGGCATGGTTTATAACACGTTACTCTATGTCCATGGACCAAAGACGGGATAGGAGAAGCCAGGAGAGGATTCTAGTTGACTTGTTCTGCTGTGCAGAGTCTCACAGAAACTGAATTTCCTGTTTTCTCTCTCGGGGAACACTAACGTGCTTGTTAGATGTATAGAGATTTCCTCTTTCCCGCTTTCCCCAAGTGCTGCGTGTAAACATTTCGGTCATTCGCTTCCCCTCTGAAAGGTATTCCCAATAACAATGACGTCTGAGCAGCAGTGAATCTGTTCTGTCAGCAGAATCGGACAAAAGCCCTCTGTGCACAAAAAAAAAAAGATGATTAAGGTACAAGACTGGCCCACGCAGAGTACTTGCTTGCATTTTGACAGGTGTCCCGAGGTTCTCGGAGGGCCGGAGTGAGATCGGTTGAATCATTTGGCGTACCGGATCGCAAATGCAATCGTGCTGCCCAGGACCTAGGTAAGAACCAGACAACGGAAATGTTATAGTGTTTAGTAGTTTACAAGCTGACAGATTACTCCTTTGCAGATGGATTTGCTACACTTTCTAGCGTGTCTCGTTTCACTAACTAACAACATTTAGGCCTTTGACACGGTCCCCCGAGACATCCTTCTCTCCAAATTGGAGAGAGATGGATTGCGGAGTACGTCTTTCTAACGGAGGAACCGTTTGTCTGACCTGAATGAGTAGCAACAGGAGAGTGAGATTTCGCTCGTGAGTGGGTCCAATCAGCTTGATAACAAAGTTAATAAGTGTCATATTATTGCACTCGGTGTATTCGCCATCTTCATCCGTTCCACTCCTCACATCTACTACGTGCAAGATCTCGACTGCCTGGGGAAAGAAATATCGCACGCTACTTCACCAGGTACGTTTGGTGCTCACCAGCTGGTTTTGCTCAAGATCCCCTTTGCTGCACCGTCCCTGAAGTCTGGCTCGTGCCCTTACTAAAATGCCAGGACAGGCTTACGGTGGCCCTGGGGACGCGGCTACGTGTGATTATTCTGAAAGATTGATCTTTAACACAGTCGAGTGACCGCAAGGGACGGTGACGGATTAAGCGGAATATTTCCTTCTGGATTTGAGCCAGGAAATAACTCGGAAACCCAGAAGTTCTGCATTCCCTCCCGTCCTGTTCCCCCTCTCGCGTTTAATCGCCGCCTCAAAACGCGTCTGGATTTTGAACGTTTTCTGGATATTACCTTCAGAATGTTTGTTCCCAGCGCAGAGAGGCTCTTAGTTTTGAATTTGGAGTAGCTCATCTCCAACTTCCCTGTACTAGGATTGAGCCTAAAAGAAACAGTAAAATTTTAGGCCAGATGGAACACGGAGACAGAGAGATCCCTATGCAAGCAGACTTAAGATCCCCAACTGAGTCGCTGAGAAAGGCAGCTGGCGGTGGAAAAACCAGGAATACTCCGATACGCTTAACGACAGCTGCCGACCCAGTTCCTCGGATCGGGCAGAGTCGGACGGAGATTCCTCCCCGCCGCACCCCCAATATATGCATAAAGCTGTATAGTTTTAAAAATAAAATAGAAGAATCTAACATCTGAGGAGACAATCCCGGATATGGCATAGTGCCACAGAATGCTTGCTACTACGAAATCTTAGCAGATCTTGCCGCAACAGGATTAAAAGCGACCCGTGTCAATTTCTCTCAGTCTGGTAGCTAAGAATAATCGTATTCAGCCAGCTACCATTTAACTATAAAACTTACTTTGATGGTTTTTAAAAAGAGCGCTCACCACCACCTTTCTCAGCTGGCGCTGGCGATAAAAGGCACAACCTGTGGTACCATTATAGGTCCCTCGGGTACATTACCTCGGCAGCCGGTGACGGGGACAAGGAATGACGTGGAAGAGTTGAGGCAACGAGTAGAGGAAGTTGAGCACTTGCGGGATAAAAAAAAGCAGCATTGTTTTGCTGAAGTGCCCCAAGATCCCCACCACGGCAAAGGTCATGCCGGCAAAGTAGCAGAAGGTGTCTCCAACAAACACTCGAGATGGGTACCTGCAATCCACAGCACAGAAAAGGAGAGGTCTGTCACGGTCGCTGTTGCCGCGAAAATAACTTTATAACCGCTGAAGAAATTCCTGCGGGGCAAGTTAGGGGCCAAGAGGGAACTGTAGCGTAGCTACACCATGAAAACGACATCTTCGGGTATTATGCTAAGAACGGTGGGACTGGGACCCGCAACCTCACTTGCGGAGAATACGGTATGAAAAACCAGCTAGCGAGACACACGAGGGAGGATATTCTGTGCACTTTGGTGAGCCAGCGTGACTGGGATTGTTCTAATAAGAAGAAAAGCTACCGTTGCATCGGTGCTCTGTGCTCCGGAAGCCTGTCTACGCTCCAGCGTCCCAGCTGCACGTCGGTAAGTGGTTTTGTTTGTTTGAAAAGGGAGAAAGTGAAGGGAAAGGATGTTTCCGAAGAAACTCTGCATGTCTGTCCTCTTACCAGTTGTGGTAAAACAGCCCCAGCGTGGTAAAAAAAAAGGGAATCATGAAGTAGAGAGAGAAAATGTGATCATCTCGATAATCCCCTATAGAAAGAAAGAAAAAAAATGCATTTGTGATAAGACAGGACTGGTTGATTTTTCGTAATACCAGCTGTTGAAATCTAGGATTCTATCTCCCTTTGCTTTTTGCACCCGTAAACGTGTATGTTCTCTTTCTTACCATTTAACTCTAAGATGTTGAATATGATAATGGAAGCAGCTATCACCAGAGACTGCCCTGCTTCGATTCCGTTAATTCCAGCAAGAATGTTGATGGCGTTAGTGCAGAACACTGCTAGCATGCCCATGTACGCGTAGTAGAGGATACCTGCAGATCAGAGCGAGTCGAGTGCTTTAGTATTCGTAGGCGAAGCAGGCCCCGGTCCAAGTCATTGAAACTCTCGCTCCCTCCTTTGTACAACAATCCATTACCTAGCGATCTCGGTGAGTTTCAATAGCGGTAGCTTACGAATAAATCACTCCCTCTCCCGTGAATTGGCCGTCACATACACACGGCGACTGCAGCAAACCGCTGCGACACGGCGGCAGACTGGAGCGCTCTCTTTTATGACCTTCAGTCATTTTGGTGTGGGCAGCCGAGTGCCGTGTGCACCTGGCGCTCAACTGTATCGCCAGAATCCTGCGAAAATGACCGGTGCCTATCTGTGTGTGGCTGAACGCGCGCTGGGTTTCTGGATGCTCTGTCCAGCCTAATATCGAGCGGGTGGAGTCGCGCCCTCTCACCGGTTACTTAAGCAAATCCTTTCTGTCTTCCCTCTGCTGCAGAGAGCCGACACGTGACCCCTTCCACCGATCGCTCGCCGCTTGGATGATGGCTGCTGGTGATTCGTAACTTACCCAGGTCCAAATGCATGCCCAGCAGCACCCGGAAAGGCTTAGGCACCACAATGGTCGTGTTCCCAAAGTTGGTGAAGTAGACCATGAGTAGCGGGAGGGAAGCCATGGTAGGAAGGAGGAGCTTGTGGCGCCAGCGCAGGTTCAGAACATCATCTGCAAAGCCCAGGAAAATCATGCAGCAGATGGCGAGGAGCGAACCGATGAGCTCCACGAACTGCGGGACAGAGAACAGGACCCCAGTTACCGACGGCCGCTCCCTGCCCGCGCCCGCCACGCTCCCAGGGCCAGGCAAGCCTCACCTCGTCATGAGGAAAGGCCACGCACTGCTCCTCCACGAAGCACCTCAGGAAGGGCACAGGGATGAAGCAGAAGAGGATGATCAGGAACACGGCCCCGCTGATCACGCCCTGCGCTTCGGGGCTGAAAGGAAGGTAAGGCGGGGAGTCAGCCTAGGCGCTGCGGGTCCCGGGGCCGGGCCGGCCCTGAGGGGCAGCGCTACTCACACGGGTCGCCGTGAGGCCTTGTTGAGGTCTTCGCCGAAGAGCCGCGCGGCGAGGAAGTGGTCCTTGAAGGCCGGGATCAGCACGAGC